GAAAATGTATATATGTGACGGAGGTAGTATGAGATAACTAATTTGTTAAAAATACAAAGCCAAAAAATAAGTGAATTTTTCCACTGGGGGAAACTTAAGTGATTTTAATGTGGAAATCCAATTTTTTACCACTTGGGTTGAGACTGAGTTCTTGTAGATCTTCTGATAGAGGCCAAGAGTAAGTAGAAGAAAAGTTAGGATACCGTAAAAGGAAGAGAGGGATAGGAAGACCATCCCCCTCTTAAAGAAAGCCAATCCTACTATCTTCTTATGTAACCAAACAAAAGCAAGTATGGAGTCATGAGAAATTGTGTGGTAAAAAATAGTTAAAATTAGCCAATATTTACCGTGTATTTTCATGCAGCAAAAATAGACACATGGATAGATAATATTGTTATTTCTTTCTTTCACCTACATTGTAAATCTTATTCTGTGTATATGCTATCATTGATAAGAACAATTAAAATCAATAAACTATATGTTTAACTCTATAAGTTAGAAAAGTCATTTCAGAGTAAATACAAAGAAAGAAGAAAATGAATCTATAAAAGACAAGAACATAAATAAATGAAATAGAAACAATATGTATTTAACGAAGCAAATGACAGAGGAATTTCCTGCAGTACTGATTTTGTAAAAGAGAGAGAAAATAGAGATAAATAATAATGAATAAAAATGGCACAAGTTTTTAAAAACCATAGTATTGTTTTATAAACAATTTGTTGATATTTAATTTGAATGTTTAGAAATATAGAACATTAAAATAAATGAATAATATATGGTCAAAACTGACCAAAGAACAAGTGATGAAAGAATATGGACATAATCATTATGCTAAATAAGTTGATTTAGTAGTCAAACAACCATCTCAAAATAAGCACCAAATCCAGATGGTTTTAGAGACAAGTTTTGTTAGTCTTTCAAGGTACACCAATTTACTTTATACAAACCATCATTCGGGGGGGGGGGCAGGAAAGGATATATTCCCAGCTTATTTTATGAAGCTAGTTTAATATTGATACCAAAATACTTCAGGACACAGCAAACCACAGGCTATTTTACTTATGAACATAGATGCAAAAATACTATGCAATTAGTAAACATATAAGAAAATCAAGACCTAGGGAGTTTAAATAACTTGTCCAAGTTCCACAGCTAGTAAATTGTGAAGCTGGACCAACATGTATCTCAAGCCAGACTATGCTTTTGAAGAATAATAGGACCAATAGCAATACTTGCAAACGAGATGATCTTTAATTTGGCATCATTACTGCTGGTTTCAATACTGCCTGGAAATAGAACAAACCTTCAGTTCAAAGATGACAGAGAGGCACTAGGCTCAACATGTACTCTGAAGACTTGAACACAAGTCCCTGCCCCACTGCCCTGATTGCCACCTGCTTTGCCGGGCATTGTGTAAAGAGAGGAGGAGAAAGGGGATTTCTATATCAGCTATTTCTTTTACTTCTCACAAACCGTGAGATCATTATCATCATCTTCTTTTTCTGCAAGAAGCAAATCAGTTAGAGAGGTGAAGAATATTGATAAGAAACAAGTTGTCAAAGCTCATAAGAGGTGGAAATGAGATTTCAGTTCAGGCCCATATCACTTCAACACTATAGCTCTGATGGAACTCCGAACATCAGACAGGTTTTCTGAGAGGCTTTCTTCTTCTATATCTTCTCTCTAGCATCAAGCCAGGAATAGGACTCAGGTCTGATCTTCTGATTACCACCTCATCTAGTTTTTGCCAGTTCTTTTCGTTGAGCCTGAATCTATTTATTGGAAGAAGGACTCCTTAGTCTTCTAGGGCAAACTTCCCCTTACTGAGAATTGGCAGTTTGTGGAAGCCTGCCACTAGACCAACATCCCCTTAACATATCCATCAACCCTGATAGCACAAACAGGGCTCTAGTATCCCTTGTAGGCTCGGTGATTTGGATTCCTCTCCCTTTACCTGAATTTGCCATGATCCTAGTCTGAGACTCTCTTGGTTGAAACACTGCTGCCCTCTAGAAGCTACCATTATGACTTGTAGCAACAGTGGATACAAAACTAAATGTCTCAGCCCCTTCCTACTATATTTTAAGCCTCATGAAAGCAGAATTTTTAATTGAGTTGTTCACTCCTTTATTTCCAGTCTGAAACAATGACTGACACATAATAGTCAGTAATTTTGTGCTGAATTAGTGAATGTATCTACTTTGATTCCCCCACTGCTGGGTTCATACATAAGAAATTATCACTCTGGGAAAGCAAGCACAGAGATGGATAGAATAGTTTCAGGAAGACTATCATTGTGGTACACAGTTACTAAATTGATTATTCCTTCCTATGTTTTTAAGCCAGATGGAGATTTTCAGAATTAATGACTTCTTAGACGGAACTTCCCATTCAGTCCCAATAACACCTCATGGGTAAGCTGAAGTTGGTGATGGATGGAGTATTAACAGTGCTTCACCTACTGCCAACAGAGTGTTAATGGAGGCATTACTGGCTGACCCTCTGTCATTTGGTATCAGTCATTAGAGCCCATTCCTTCTGGGAAAAAGATGACTAAGCTTTTAACTGTAGATCTTTTTAATTACAATAGAAGTGCTTCCGTTTGGTATTTTCCACATCACCAAGCCATTTTCCTTCATGTAAAGTCAAATGTTTCATGCTTTCATATCGTGTGTACCTAGGAAGACTTTCAGCACCAAGGAGTAGAAATTATTTGCTCCAGCATTTATGTTCATTGCCCATGTAATGACTGAAAGTGACAGCTTGTCAAGAGTGACATTTCATATGCCTGTTGTACAGAAGTCATAGTTCATTTACTTTTTGAGACATAGGCCCCAGGGAAATGGACTTTATGAAGTTGAGAGGAAGCTGATGGACTCTATTCATCCATCCAACACCAACAAGTCTTTTACTGAAACTGAAAGAGTAAAGTGACAATTTTAAGTTGCTGAAAAGGAGATCAATAGCTAATTTAACCATAATGTGAGGATATGTTCCCTGTTCAGGACCTCAGAAAACATAGTAGCATTTTACTAATTTCTATAACTTTGTTGTTAACTTTTACTAGAAATGAGTATTTATAGCTCAAATCAAATACTGTATTTTAAAACATAGGAGAGAAACAGTACAGGAGTTCATCAATTGTCAACCTTGACTATTTCTCCAAAAGAAAACTAGGTGCTTTGAGATTCAGCAAGCAATGTAGGACTTTCTCTTATACCAGAAGTTTTCCATTTTTTCTTGTATCTAATCTAATAGATAAAAATAAAATCCTAGAAATGCAGTTAAATTTTTAAACCTTTGGCGTATTAGAAAATGTATTAATTTGCTTTAGCCTCCAGATACTCATGGATAAGTACTGCTTGATTGATGTGTATTTGGGTGGGGAGAACATGCTGACAGAAACATCTAGAAAAGGTGACTTTTGGATGAAAGATGACAATGACAGAAAAGAGAATGAGAAATACAGACATATGCCATGGCATTTAAATGTCAATTGCATAGAAAGTTAAAACAAGTAGGATAATCTTTTTGGCAGAATTTTGATTCTATAAGATTCTATAAGATAGACAAATTTGCTAAAATTGGGAGAGAGAGGATATATTAGTTCCCATAAGTGGGGGGGGATGGGAACAGATAAATTGTCCCAAGTACATTTCCAGCTGAGTGTGCATGACAGAGTTGCCACAGCACAAAACACAAGGCACAAACACTGGAAGTTTTTTTGGGTTTTTGGGAAGGTTTTTGAGCCCAGAAGAGTGAAGTGGCACACTCTTGGTCACCGCAACCTCAACATGCTGGGCTCCGGCAATCCTTCCACCTCAGTTTTCCAAGTAGCCAGAATTACAGGCTCACGCTACCACACCCGGCTAGTTTTTGATTTATTGTAGAGATGAGGTCTTGCCAAGTTGCCCAGGCAGATCTCGAAACCGCGGGTTCAGGCAATTCACTTGCCTCGGCCTCCCAAAGTGCTGGGATTACAGGCTGAACCACCAAGCCCAACAATACTGGGAGTTTTAAAAATTCTTTATACCCAAGCTACACCTGAAGTCAATTAAATCAGAGTTGCTGAAAATGAGACCCCAGCATTGTATGTTTTAAAGCTCCCTCAGATGGGTGTTCTAATTATTCAAATTTAAAAATCCCTGACCTAGATATTTGTAGCCAAGTTATATCTTCTAATCAGCTTGGTTCTTTCATTCAACAGGAATTTATGAAGTATCTGCTTTATGTCAGACAGTGCACTAAAGCAATGGTGATGGAAACATTTAACAAGAACAAACAAGACATACTCCTACCCCTAAGGATAACAGAGTTTAAAGGAAAAGGTTTATGCCAAATAAATTATTTATAATAATATAAATAAAAACAGAAGCTCATATGTATTGTTTACTTTGCCCTAGGCTATGTTGAATAGTAAGCATATATCCACTTTCTTAATTATCTCAGTTTTATTATAACCTCAATTTATAGATGAGGGAACCCAGGCTCAGAGAAGTTACATAACTTGCCGGATGTCACAATGCTAATTAAGTAGCACAGATGGAACTCTTACCAAGCCAACTTCATTCTTAATCATACCACATTATGGAGACCATGAGTAAATGCTATAAGAGCCCAGATGAAGAAACTAATAATTCAACTGGAAAGGGAGAAAGATCTTTGGAGAAAACCTTATAAAAGAAGCAAAATTTAAACTATGTTTTTTTAAAAAAAGAAAATGTAGTAGGGTTTTTCCAGGGGAAGAATAACAGGGAAGCTATGTTAGGTTGGAACAGCATTTCTAAAGATGGGAAGGTATATGCATACTCGAGGAGCAGCAGGTGATTGGATATGATAGTGAAGCTGAGGCCCTAAGGAAGTTTATCTGAGATCAGGCTTTCCTCATGCTCCTACTTATTCCTGGAGCACTGGAATAAGCATTGCAGGTGAGCAGCTCAAGCAGCATTTTCCTCTTGTCACTAAGATCAATACATAGTAATTGACACTGCACCTACCAGTTCCTCATTGTTTAGTGATGTCCTAATCACCATAGCCAGAGAAAGTCCAGATTTCCGGGCAGCCAGGGTCTAAAACAAACAAAAGTATGACTTATTAATACATGGGGAGGTTGCCATGTACATATTGCTCAGCAGAAAATGAAAACATAAGAATATTGTCTATCACTGTTCATGTTTTAATTCATAGGAATCTGTCATTTTCAGTAAACAGTCAATTCATCCAAAGGTGGAATCATACAATATTAAAACTTGAAAAGATCCTATAGATCATCAAACCTAAACCTTATATTGTATAAATGGGACTGCGACCCCAAAGGACAAGATGCCAGTCCCAGTTTTCCAGGTCAGCAAGAGGCTTCTAGTACTTAATCATTCCCTAGGTGGTCATGCAAACATGACGACTGATACAAAGCCAGCCTGACTTGGGTAATGGTCCTGACTCATAATTGACGTTAGATGACTTTTGAGTTGTTCACAGTTCCCTAGAATATCTATCCAAGATATTTTCTTTCAAGTGCCCATTTTGTCCATTGAGAATTATTATCTCCAGAGCAAAATTATTCATTTTGCTCACTTGGTGCTGGTAACTTAGGTGATTTTAAAGAAAAGTCAAATTCCTTTAGTTTCTGAACCTAATAAGAGAACCATCATCATCTACTCCTACCCAAAGCGTATGCAATATAATAAACTCAGCAGTACTATAGAGAACTTTAGAAATCAGATGTCCCATATGGGAATATTAAGGCTGCTATCCCATTTGGAGCAAAGAGATTTCATAATGGAATAATGCATTTCTGATCACCCATAGTCCCATCTGGTAATATATAGTATATTCTCAGGGCTACAGAGTCGTAGGCTCAGCAAAAATTCAGCATATACTTGAGTAAACATGTCACTCTCTACCCCTATCATGTAAACCTAAAGAAGTCTTACCTCCGAGGATTTACCCAAGATAATCTTCCATCTCTGACAAGTATTGTCCCTAAAATTATGTTTGTATCCTATTCTAGTCTGTGTTTACACCTGTTGTATACATAATCTGGTCTATCTTTCAGAATTGAGCTAGATGTTAAATTCTTGGGGAACCCAAACTTCTTATTCTCGTATGTCTCTGCCTTTTCATTTCCCCATTTTGCCCTCTTTTACGCTATGAGTAAGTGTAATGTATATTTGAGAAGATTGGCAAATTTTAATTAAATAAATTGAAAAGCACTTACCATGGCCTGAAGATTCCAGGAGGGAGAGAAAACAAAGTGCAAATAATTAGCCATATGAAAGGTGGGAAAAGAGTATAACAATGCTAAATTAACCTAACACTTTAAAATAATATCCACACAATAATGACAGAATTCTGAGCTAATTGTACTGATATGGTATGCTTTCTAATATGAGATCTTTTCAGTAAAGATCATATTATGAAACCATAGTGATGGTTTTCAGATGACAGTTTTCTTAGAAGAGTTAAAAATTACTAATATCAAAGATTATGTGCATTATTGCTATATCATTCAAATATGAAATATGCATATAAAATGTGAAGACATTTTGAATGTTAGAAAACGTTTTTTTTTTTCATGTACTTGGGCTACTTTTTTTAAACAATTGAATGCAGACCACTATCAATTCTTTGCATTTCTAGGTGGTTCCAGCATATTTTGTCAAAGGAGAGTGAGTTATTCAGAGTCACAATCAGGAGTAATAAAGATTTTAATAACTTGGAAACCAGTTTTCAAAGAAAACATGGTTTTCTTCAGATAGTAGAAGAGCTTATTTATTTAGCTAGAACTGGCCTCAATATAATAAAATAAAAAATTTATTAGTATTATCGGCTTGCTTTATAAAGTATTCAAGTTCACTGGGTTAGGGTGAAGAAGTTCAAATCAAGCCTTACATTTTGCAAATTAAGCTTGTGGCCACTCATAATAGTGAACACATCAAAGCCTAGTTACAGGAACTTGCTTGGCATGCTGTGTGATTTCTTTTCACTCAATTAGAGAATTATTTTAACTCAATTTGTAATTCCAACTAATATCAAAAGCTGTCAAAAAGAGTTATTTCCTTCATCTAATCGAGTTTTTTTAAATGATATATATAACACTTGGTTGAATCTGGCCTTATATATTTTGTTCTGTGAAATATTTGCAAGCTTGGCAATTAATGAGAATGACATTACAATTTTGTAGAAAAAGACAGTAATCAAAGAGAATTGAACAGGCATTACTTACCACATCTCGTACAATAGGCAATGTTTTTTTCCTGCGAAGATCTGGCATACTGTCAATACCGTAAAGTCCCCGCCCAGCTCTGAAAGGGGAAATCAAAGCAATGCTTACAATGAGTAAAATGACCTTTTAGAAAAAATTCCACCATTCATAGTAATAAAGCAGTGAAAAAGATTAAATGGGTACCAAGTCTTTCAACTAATTCACAAACAGGCAAAGATTCAAGACTCTAGAACTTTTTCTAGCAAGAGAGGGGGAAAAAAAGACTCCAGCAATCACATCTGCAGATCATTTGTCTTCTTGGATAGTTCCTTATGTTGAAGCTTTAAAATTTATACATGGCTTAGTTGGACACACTGTTTTTCTGTTAACATCACAGAGGAGAATCAAAATTGCTAGGTATATGGAACCTGGTACCTCCAGGAGAAAACAGAACTCAACCAATTTTGGTGCAAGTTTGAGCTGTAGTGGTAAAGACATTAACTCTATTATAAAAATACCATTTTCTGTGGGTATCATTTTCACAGATTAAACTCAAAATGGCATTTCAAGGAGTCATAGACATATATAAAACATTACCCTTACACCAGAAGTTCCACTTATCTTAATTTATTCCTCAGGTAAATATACAAAATAAAATAATTTGTTGCACAAGAATATTCTATGCAATTTTTTGTAATAGCAACAAAAGCTAGGCAACATACATTTTTAATCAATAGCATATATGTAATTGGAGTCTCATTCTGTCACCCAGGCTGCAGTGCAATAGCAAGCTCACCACCACCCCAGCATCGAACTGCTGGGCTCCGGCTATCCTTCCACCTCAACCTTCCAAGTAGCTGGAACTACAGGTGAGTGCTACCACACCCAGCTAATTATTTATTTATTTATTGGAGAGACAAGGTCTGGCCAAGTCGCCCGGGCTGGTCTCGAACCCGTGGATTCAGACAATCCACTCGCCTTGACCACCCAAATTGCTGGGATTACAGATTGAGCCACTGAGCCCGGCCCAATCAATAGCATATTGATTAAATGAATTACTGGGAAAATGTAATTAAGGTGAAAGAGATAAATAAAAACATATGTGTATATAAAAATACTCATAATATGTTAAGTGAAAAAAGCAAGTTTGCACATTAGTAGGTTTAATAAATCACATATGTATATGTATTTAGATATTAACAGAAGATATCT